GGGTCCAAGGAGACAGCCCAGACCTATGAGTACAAGGGCGGCGGCCCTGTAAAGCTCTCCCCCGGAGTCACACAGTTTGAACGCCGGCTCGCTTCGCCGCTCCAGGGACTCATGAACGCTTACAGGGCGGCCTTCAGCAAGTTCACCAAAGAGCCGCTGGTGCCGAGGTGGAAGACGCTGGCACTGGTTGACTCCAAAGAGGCTTGGCTGGGCCGTATCGTGTACCGCCGTGGAGGTCCTTCACAGACGACCTCCACAGGCACCCTCACAGACTGGGAGTGCGAGATCCACATCCCGGAGGAACATGCCAGCAAGCTCTTGGAGACCTGGCGCAGCATCTGGTATGACCAATTGCGACAGCAGGTCAACCAGACGACTGTCGAGCAGGAAGCTTTCGACAGTGCAGCTCGCCTCACAGCACACAACTATGCTGAGGCCAAGAGACTTAGCAGGTTCCTGACCAAGGCCATCCCGGAGTACAACGAGGGCGAAGATGAAGGCCTAGACCACTGGATCGCCAGGTTCCGGTATGAGTTCCCCTGGCCGGTGAAGTTTGTCCAAGTCCCCCCGGACGCCGAGGAGAGGACGCACTTCACAGGCCTTCGGTCCACCGAGGAGCTCATGGAAGAAATGGCAGCCCAGGAGCAGGAGGCAGCCTTCACAGTGAACTCCGAGAGTGGAGGCGTGGGGGCAATGATCGATGTGACCTCCCAGATGAAGCGCACTCACAGTGACGCAGCCTCCGCCGTCAGTGGAATCAGCACGGCTAGCGTCCCGAGTTCGGGGCTTCCACCTCCACAGCCCACCAAGGCCCGACCGAGCTACTACCCGTTTGGCTCACAGACGGAGCTAGAGGAAGCGGTCGAGGCAGCCAAGATCGCCCACATCAACCATGGTGGTGCATCAAGCGCCGAGCGGCCGGCTCACAGTCGCAGTGATGGTCTGGCAAGCGCGCCCTCTCTTCCTTGCAATCTTCCGCAGCAGCTGTGCGACCGCATTTTTCACAGGCTGCTGCCTCTTGTACTATAGCAGACCCAGACCGTACCACACAGCTGGGCAAAAACAAGTTGAACCGTTCTGGCACGCCACCTAAAGGCGAGCTGGGTGCGCTGAGCCACTATTATAACTCTAGTCCATCTACACCTCACAGTTTCGCTTTTCCAGGTTGCTCTGAGAGTTGTTCTAGTGTGCCTTTCGGCGACGAAGTGCCCCACAGACCCCACACCACTTCCCGGACGCCCCCCCCCTCACAGACCCGAGCACAATACCACCGCCATTTCAGGTCACAAACAGCACGGCAGCGGCGAGCACGCCGCCGCATCACCACCAGATCTCGCAGCAGGCGGGAATACAGAGCTTGGAGGCATGCTCTATCCACCTCTCCAACCCCTAGTTGTGGTTTGGGCTCCAGAGCTAGGATCAACAACCAAAAGCCTTTATACGGCCCCACGCCGACTGCCCCAACCCCGGGCGGCTTACAGCCTGTTTCGACCAGGGCTTCCCTTAAGGGTCGAAGCCCTCAGTTTCGCTCTTGCAGATGTTTCCACCGCCTTTTGGCAAAAGCCCCAGATATGAGCGGACACTCTCCCCCCCTCCTTCCCTTCCCCGCCCAACCCCACCCCCCCTTCACAGCCTCAGGTGAGCAGTGGCCGTGACTCCTGGACCGAGGCCCACGATACCCAAAACAAGCAGCACACCCGTGCACACTGGTTCAAGACCCACTGCCGCAGCCCTCAAGAACACGGCAGACAGCGGCACTCCACACAGCTGCGCTCCAAAGTGCATCTGAAAGGGGGGTTCTGGAACACCACGGGCCTTCTTGAAGCTGGCAAGCTTCACACCTTGATCAAGATCATGCAGACGCACGGTCTTGACTGGCTGGCCCTCACAGAGACCCACGTGAAGCAACAGGATCGCTTTATGATCCAAGGGCAATCCGGTACAGACCTTCACAGGGGTGTCCCTGATTACCTCCCCGCGGCTCACACCTTGCATTCTGGACATCGTGGCCACCGACGGTCGCTTCCTTTCTTTCAAGATCGACACAGCCGAAGCCCCACTCACAGTTCAGGTGGTGTACGCTCCTCACAATCAACGTGAGCAGCCGGTTCGCGATGCCTTCTGGCAGTCACTCGGGGACATCCTTCACAGCCACCCCGCCAGCGAACCCCTTATAGTGGTGGGCGACTTCAACGCACAACTGCTTGACGAACTCTCGGCCAATCGAGGCAGTGTCGGGCCCCACGCCCACTTTGGAGCGAACGTGGCAGACGAGACCTTAGCCTCACAGGCTGGCGAGGATGACTCTTTGTCCAATCACGCGCAGCTGTTCGAGATGTCGGTCAGCCACGACCTGTGTTTTCCACAGACGTGGATGGACAAAGCCGAGAAACACCGGATGACACACCAGCGCCCGAACGGTGACCTGGTCCAGCTGGACCACGCCATCACTAAGTTCGCCTGGAAGAATATGGTCACCGATGTGCACACCCTCCCGAACGCTACTCTCAACAGCAACCACTTTCTCACCAGAGTCACACTCTCCTTACACACAGCCTGCCACAAGCGAGCAGCTCCCACACCCAAGCCGACCAGACGCCCTGACGCGCAGTCCATTCTTTCTTTCAACACACACTTCACAGAAACCCTTCAGCATAAGCCAGCCTTCGAGGAGCCTACCCCACAAGAGGCCGATGCGGAGAACGTCTCCCCCCAGCCTTCACAGTCGAACACCGACCAGCAGAGGCTGGACCAGCAATGGCAATCGATCAAAGATTCCATTTTGCAGTCCATGGAGAAGCATATCCCCGCACAGGACAGCAAACCCAAGCATCCCTGGATTAGCCAGCAGACGTGGGAGCTCATAGAACAACGAACAGCCGCTCGCCAGAGCCAGGATCTGGACACTGAGCGCGAACTGCACAAGACCATCCGCTCACAGGCCCGCAGAGACAAGCAGCAATGGCTCAAGGATCGCCTTCAGGAGAGCGAAGAGACCATGGACGCGCGGGACAAGTGGCGCTGGATCAAGCGCATCCGCTCGGACTACAGGCCCCGTACAGTCACTCTACACGACTCCAACGGCAAGCCTACCGGCCTACCAGCTACAGCAAACAGGCCGACACCTTTGCCAAACACCTGTCGGAAGTTCAGTGCGCCCCGCCACCAACAGACTACACAGGACCCACCAACAAACTGACGGACGACAGCCCAGTCAACATGGAACCCATCACGATGGAGGAGCTTAGCGCTACTCTCAAAGGCATGGCTTCACACAAAGCCCCAGGCCCGGACCAAATTCCGGCAGAGGCCTTACAGTGGCTCACACCAGCCAACCGGCAACCGTTACTGGACCTCTTCAACGACGCATTGCTCACAGGACTGGTACCGGAAGAATGGTCAACGGCAGTAGTGGCGGAGATCCACAAACGAGGCACTATGGCGGACCCCAACAACTACCGCCCCATCGCACTCCTCAGCACCTCTTATAAGCTCTTCGCCAGGCTCCTCCAGAAATGCCTGGAGCAGGCGATAGACCACAAGCTGCGATCCACACAGTATGGGTTCAGAGCCACCAGATCGACCTCACAGGCGATTCATGTGGCCAGGAGGCTGTTGGAGCGAGCCGAACGCTGCGGTTCAACTCTGTACGTGCAGCTTCTTGACTGGAGCCAGGCATTTGACAAAGTCCACCCGCAAGCAGTTACGGTGGCACTCGAACGGCACGGAGTGACGCCGTCGTTTGTCAATCTGATTGGTTCGATTTACAACAACCCCTCCTTCACAGTCAAGGCAGCAGGGCAACAGAGCCAGCAGTCTCTCGCAAGCTCAGGCATTCGCCAAGGCTGTCCGCTCTCTCCCTATCTCTTCCTGGTAGTGCACAGCATGATCATGGCCGATGTCGACGCGGAGCTGCAGCAGCACGGCCAGATGCTTCCGTGGCTTTTCAGCCAGAACCAACCATTCTACGACCTCGCTTACGCAGACGACATGGCCATCTTCACAGGTACTGCGGAAAGGGGCCAGCAAATTCTGCACAAGATTCAGGAAGTTGCCGCTCACAGCAACCTCTCGTTGAATCTTAAAAAGTGTGAATTGCTTCGCTCACAGTTGGCCGTCAATCACATTCACTTCCTCACAGGTGAGCTAATGAAGGAAGTCACACAGGCCAAGTACCTCGGCGTTGTCCTCAGCCAGGACTCGTCCAGCAAGGCGGACATCACAGCTAGATTGGGAAAGGCGCGGAAGCACTTCAACACCCTGCACGCCTTTTGGCGACACACAGGCCTGAGCGTAGCGTGGAAGCTGCGCATCTACAACGCGGTCTTCATCCCCATGATTGCTTATGGCATGGAGTCCGCTGCGCTCACTACAGCAGACCTCCACAGGCTTGAGGCCTTCCACTCACAGTCACTCCGCAAGATCCAACGGATCAAAGCCACCTACTACACCAAGATCCTCACAGACAACCCCCTCGCACAGACCATCCGAAATGAAGGAGTCCGAGCCCTTGCCGACCAGCCCCCACTCACCCACCACATTCACAGGGCACAACTAAAGTTGTTTGGTCATGTTTTGAGAGCAACCCCGAGCAACCTGGAGCGAAACTGTGTTTTTACGAAGGCGTTTGTATATAGAGGGGGTACAGTACAGGCAGGCATACGGCCGGGACGTCGTAGACTGCACTGGGCTGAGCAGTGTGCCGAGCTAGCATGGCACTGGCTCTCGCATACTCCACATGCCATGACCTCTCAAGCCCCTAGTTTTCCTTTTGCCTTCCTTTTGCTTCACAGGCTGGCTGTTAACCGTCCGGCTTGGCTTCAGTTAGTGGGGCTGCCAACGTGCAAGAAGCTCCTCAGGTCTAGCGCGTTCTTTTCCTACTCACAGTGAGTACGCTGACTTGTGTCTGCTTTGCATAGGGCCGCCCAAAAAAAAACTTGCTGAAAGTGTACAACACAGTGACCAATGAGAGAGTGGGAGAAGAGGAACATACAGCACACATGGAGAAGAAAGCCATCCAACTTATGATTCGCAACTTGAAGCGCCTTGAGCCTACCACCAGAGTGTCCAAGCAGATGATCAGAAGTATTCTGTTGAGCTCAGCGGTGCAGTATAGCATGGCCTCGGATTTCAAGGATGAGGATGCTTCGGGTACCGTGTGCTTTGCAGTGTCGACTACGGGGCTTATGCAGTGGAATATGGCATGGACGATGGTTTTCACATGTGTGATTGTGCTTTTCAGTTTTGTTTGGTGGTGCAAACGCTCCCATGTGATCGCTACCCGCGCTGAGATTGGTGTGCAAGCTGCAGTTCGTGATGATCGCGATGAGCTTCGCTTTCATGCTGATGCAATCATTCGGCAGCAAAAGAATGAGCTCGATGAGATGAAAGAGTGGAACAGGCAACTTCTTGACGAATGCCGGGGACTTGAGTCGTGGAATGAACGATTGCGCAATGAGGCGCAGCAGGTTCGTCGTCAGCCGCGTATTGCGGATGGTTTCCGCACGCGGGCGGTCCTACCACAGCAGTGCTGAATGTGAGCATATTCGCGGACGGGGAACAACAACGTATGCCAAGTGCCGCGATTGTGGAATGCGAGATGGGCACTGATATGGGTTCTGTTGGGTCTATTTGGGCCGTTCTTTTGTCAGAAACCGGCCGTTCTTTTTTAGACGAAAAAGAACGCGTGGTTCACAAACAAATTGGATGGATGGCCCTTTTACGGTAGCCAATGTTACGGTTGCCAGGGCGTGTGAGAATTTTTTTTGGTACCCTTTTACGGCGGTCAACGTTTACGGCTGCCAAGGGTTTGCGAAAGGAGCGGGACGTTTGAATGCCCATTTGCGCTGATGCAAGTTTTACGCACAGCAGGGCTATGCAGTGAGTGCAGTGAGCCGTTAAAGTTGCACGCAAAGCATTGTGCATTTTGCCTTTGCGACCAGGTACATGTGATCATGTGCATAATTGTGCCAACCTGGTAAATTCGGTTTCGGAAATTCGTTTCAAGAACCTTTGTGTCTTTGCGCTAGTTGCTTTGTCAACACCAACAAGTCCTACATTTGTGATATCCATGTGTAGCGAGCTAGAGCTACATGTGGGAGTCCGTAGGCAACTTTGGCGAAAGTGCTAAAGTCTGTTTGAGTGTATGCCGTAGGCATAACTCAAGGCGGGGTGATAAACCTTTACGCCCATGTAACATGCCATGTTTTACACAAAGTTTTTCCTTGCTTTTACTTGTACAGTTGCTTTGACTTGAGCTTCGACTGCAGGCGCTTTGTGGTTCTACAAAAGTTTTCAGAATCGGATGATACGTTCAATTGGTTTGTTTGCATTGTTTGAGCTCTTACCAGGTGAAATCAAATCTTGTCAGAAGACTTTATCATTTTTCAGTTTTATTGCTTTAACATGTTCGAAAAGAATGGTCGAAAGACTCTTTGTGTTGTTTCTTTGTACTTTTTTCTGTTTTGAAGACAACGCTTGCAACAACGAAGCTTGTTAGAGGTTAAAACCGATCAGTTGTCTTACTTACCTTTTGAATGGTTAACTACTCGTCCACCTCCATCCACTTGACACCGTCATGGCTTTTTGACTGCTTTTAAACTGGACTGATGACCATTGTCTGTATCTTCAACGGCACATTTCATTGTAGCAATTGCACGAATGTCGAGCATATCCGAGAAACATGGTATGATCTTGAAGTTACTGTGTTTTAGAAAAACAGAAATCACTGTTTTAAAACAGCGACAGCAAAACGCACTCCGAGGAGCCGGCGCTTTGAGTTCCCGTCCAATCACTTTTAACTTTTGTCTCAAACGGTGGGCCACTACTACTGCTACTACTACTAACTACTACTACTACTACTACTACTACTACTACTACTACTACTACTACTACTTCTCCTCCTCCTGCTGCTGCTGCTGCTGCCACCACTCTGCAGCTACAACAATCCTTTTCGATTGTGACAACTCCTAGGGTGCCTTTCATGTTTGTCAAAGTGAAAAATGAAGAATGTCGTGAATGGAGCAAAACGTTTGGAACAAGCCGACACCATGGCCTCAGTTGGTTCGACCCGCAGCCCTGCTCAAAAACAGCATTCGCTGGCAAGTGGAGCCGGCAATGTGCGTCACAGCTGTCTGCTTTTCTGTCCAAATCGAACAGCTTACAAGAGGAAAAGGATTTGGACTCTAGACAGCCCAGCCGTTGTCGGCTCTTTTAAGTCGCTGAGCGAGCCTTTTGAGTTGTTTAACAGCTCCTTGATGAAGTTTGCTGCTGCGGCTGTGGCTCGGTCGAGATGCGTGAGTCTGCACGCAAGGACAGCTTCTCAGAAGGTCAGACGGTTAAGAGCGTTTCTCAAATATCTGACGGCGACTTGCACAGAGCAACACATCTTTAATGTTCTCCAAGGTTGAAATGGGATTCTACCAGGTTTGGAATCTGGAAAATCCAGGAAAGTTCTGAAATCGTGCGAACTTTGGTCAGTAGAAGCTTCAGCGGCAAAAAAAAGTGCTTCTTGGCGACACTCAAACAGTAAAAACCGCAGTTGGAAGTCCCTTAAGGGAGATCTGGTGGGCAGTCACACTTCCATTCCACAGCAACGATGCGTACTTGCGCCGGTCCAAGCTTCCTGCACGAGATCAACGACATGCAGACACAACTGCAAAGTCGTTCAGAACAATTGAGCATTCGAAGCAGCTACTACCATTCAGCACGGACTCCGTAATTCTAGGTCGTACAATGGCCAAGAAATGAAATCGAAGCTCCAATGGCTGGGTGACTTTCAATCCGAATTCTAGACCTGGATTCGAATCTGGGTTTTTAAAGAAACCTGAGTCTGGATTTCTGGGTTCAAAAATCCGGATTGCAATCCAGGTTTCAAATCGAGTTTGAAATCTGGGTTTTCCTTGGTTCCAATCTGGGTTAGAACCAGCTTTTCAAATCTAGATTCGACAATCTGGATTTTTTCCTGATTCAACTTCGATTGAACCAGGTTGAAATCCAGGTTCAAACCTTTCTGAGTTCTTGTTCTTGCCTTCGCTGGATCAGAGATCGAGCGCAGCAGCCGCTCACCATCGCTCACCAAGGCCCAACCACTCAAAAAAAAAAGGCGCAGCGTCTAAGGCGGTAGACTTGACCAAGCCAAGTGCCAGGCCTCATAGTAGTCGTCCTTCGCTGCAATGCAAGAACAGCTGGGTTGCAAGCCGGATCCACAATGACTGCATGTTGGCGAGGCGGATGCATCACCATGGATCCTGCTGGCAGAAACCGTCGAGTTCGTGCCAGAATCAGCAAAAGCAGAACGCCTGTGCGGTGAAGAATTGGAGGAGGTCCAGGCTTCAGAAGATGCCTGTCGAAGCTTCCGCAGAACCTGCCTTGAGTTCTGCAGGACCTTCGGGCCAAGTGGGCCACTTCTGCTCCAGGGCTCTGTGCAGACCCGTGCCGGCTCATGCAAGTGTGGAGGGCCTGAGAGTAAAGGCTGCCTAATGGAAGTTAGAGGCACATAGACAATCCTGCAGTTTCAAATGTTTGGACTGCCGAAAGAGTTTAGCTTTGACTTCTGCAGAGCAGACTCTCTTCGGCGGGCAGCGTCTTAAAGTCCGTTGTTGGAGCTCTGTGGATTTACACTTCCAAACTGCATTTGTCACCGGATGATGCCAGCCTTGTTCTTGGCATTGACAGTCGGGCAATTCGCTCCTTGTACGAGACCTTCAACCAGCTTTTCACATCTCTGATCTATGTCCAACGAACGATTTCTGGACTTCACCCAAGTGTTATTTTCGGATGCAACCCACTTCTGCTCTCTAGCTGCTGAAAGAACGTGTAGCTGCTCTTCTTTTTGTGGGCACTGGCTTGGTTCCACGCAGTCTTTTGACGGAATTGCTTTGTTTCACGCGTTTCTGAACCTAAGTTTTGACAGTCTTGATGGCCGTCGAATCCTGGAGCGACATCAGCACGGCAAATGACTTGGTTCAAAGCTGACGAAATGGTCATTTTTGTTGTGACATGGCACTCGATTCCAACTCAATGTTGTGTTTTCATTTTGTCGCAGTAAGTTCCGTGTTTTGAGACTTTGCTAAATTGCAATGGACTTGTATTGGTGATTGTCTCGACGTGGTGTCGAATTTTTGGGAGAGTGGAAATGGTTCGTCGAGATCTTGTCGAGAACATTAAGGTGCTTCTTTTCAGTCCATCTTAAGTGCGATCCGCACCTTCCATTGATTTCTTTGGAACGGGATTTCAAGACCCAAAATGTGTTTTTAGAACTTCAGCGGTTTTACAGCTTTGCAAGGAATGAGCAGGAACCGGAACACCATCAAATTGGACATCGGTCGCTAAACTAGTGGAGCTTATGACGAATTCCACGTGACAAACGGACGGAGCCGGCACCGTTATTAACCATTTTTTCATATTATGATTTTGAAAAACTTCCCAGTGATACTTGAACGCCGTGAATCACAAGCCCAGCAGTGAGTGGAAGTTCGAAGCGACGACAAGCGATGGCAACGCGTTCAGGTTTTTTCTCCCGACCTCTATTTCCAATCACTTGGCCAATCCTCGAACAACGTTTTTGACAGCGCAGTTCCTCTTTCGGCACTGTGCATCCGCACCACAGCAAAATTTCTTCAGTTCCAGACCAGTTCAACAACTTTCGAAGTGGTTACATGTTAGAAGCTTTCAACCTTCGCTAGTTTGCTGCGTTTATAGCTGCCAGCAGCCATGGCGGAGCTGGCGCAGCGTGTGGCGCAGCTGGAGAAGGCCTTGAGCCACATTAGGTGTCCGTTGGTGTTTCGCAAGTTTGCAGGGGACGTATCTTGCCTTGGGTTTCAGGCTTGCCCAATCGATACGGTCAACCGCTTGTGCATCGAGTTCCCTTCGATGGAAGCTTTGGCCCAGACACACTGGGCCAAAGCCAATAAACGTGTCACCCGCAGCCATGCACAAGCTGCAAGTCCATGGATGAAAAGGCGCTGCAGCAGCACCTTGCAGAACACGACTTCATCCGTGATTTCTGGGGCGAGGCTGGGGAAGGGCCCACGGTTGAATGATGCGGCAGGAAGGATTTCGGGTTTCTCTAATGTTGGTCGTCGTACTTCAACGCTGCTTTCCCGCAAAGCCTTAGATACAAGTTCGTTCGAATGCTTTCCATGCGCTTTTAGAGGGTTGCGACATGCAACCGTACGGGACATAATGCAAGGTGATATGCTTCTGGGTATTGCCTTCAACATCAAACCTCAATCACTTCGCGAGCTTTTGAACATAACAAGCTTTGACGTTGTTTGCAGCAGCATCAGCACACTACAATGTACATCGAAACCTCATGTTAATTAAATGCCTGAAGGTTACCGTGCTATATCGACCCTGCTCTATACAGAGCCCGTTGGAACCCACACGAACCCCTGACCATTTATATCGATCTCAACTGAAAGCTCATGAAACTCCAGCTGCTGGCTCCCGGTTTGACGTTGAGGATTGAGGGTTGGGACCTTAGTCAAGGTTTCGAGTTTGGTTCAGGGTTGAGTCCAAAAAATTTCGAAGC